CTTGGTGGCACTTACACACTTTAGGTAGTAACATTAATTGCTATTGGCTTGTATTACCACTGTTGCTGGGATTTAGGGAAGCACTTCTCTGTTCCACTTTATTGTTGGGCAACAGGCTGCCCAGAGAGGTTGTGGAGTCTCCTCTGGAGGTCTTCAAAACCTGCCTGGATGCCACCCTGTGCCATGTGCTCTAGGTGTCCCTGCTGGAGCAGGAGGGTTGGACTAGATGATCTCTAGAGGTCCCTTCTGACCTTAACCATTCTGTGATTCTGTACCTGAAACCTGGAGTAGCTCAGTGTGGCCTTAAAGGAGATGTTTAAAGCCTTTAGTGGAGCCAAGAAACTTTGGATAGACACTGAGTTTCCATTACAGTGCAAGCCCTTCTTTATTTTGGGAAGGCCACAGTATGAAAGGACTGCAGTTGTTTACGAACTCTTAGTGTAAATACTTCCATGGTAGTGTTTCAGCGGCATCCAAGAAAAAATCCCAAACAGTTAATTTTGTGTCTTTTGAAGTCTATGGAAGTACTTAGGGAAATAAAGAGCAATGGGGACCAGCTGGCCTGAACAGGTGTTAAGTATGGATGTGCGCACTACTCCGTTGCCAAAAGCTCCCATTGGCAGCACAGGTCGATGTGAAGATGGTTTCGAGGAAGACCTTTCCACTCAGCAGAGTGGAAGAGCAGGGTTCTGCCTGCTCTTAGTTTATATCTTTGTTCCGTGGGGCATCTGCTTCGTGCCTGCTTTACTGCTGGGACAGCTCCTCGTCCAGCGAACTGAGCGAGCGGCAAAGCTGCAGCAATGAGGCCTCTCCCAGTCGCTCCGGTGAGGGGCTGCTCATGGCATTCGCTCCTTCCTCACAAGGAGGATCCAAGGAGATGGCTGATTGGGGAACAGAAGGCATCCCTTGCAAGCTGGGGCATGGAGCTCAGGTCTTCCCAGCCTCTGCCCTAATGGGATGCACTGGCCCTTGGGCTAGTCTAGCTACTGCTGCTTTTATCCCCATCTTTATTGCCTGAGTCGAAAATCTTGCTTAAAAATATCTGCCCCTGATACATATGTGTATGAATGTGAAGTTTGTGTTTACAGAATTGCTGTTAGCACACTGCATCGAATAGGAAACAGGAGCTTTATGGTGCGTGGCTATTTTTAAGGCTTGTGTTTCTCGAGGGTCTTAAAGGCACAATGGGGCTAATGCTTTGAGAAAGTTTTATCCCAAGACTTGCATTAGCATCAATTTTCTTCCAGTGACAACGATACAATCTTGTTCAGAGCACGTATTTCCTTAGTATTTTACTACCTCCACCTGTTTCTTTTATCCTGAAAGTGATTTCACCCCAGGAGGCAGGGAGAGGGAGAGAGAGATGTAGGTATAGATGTAGGTATAGATCCTCAGTTTGGGCAGATGCAGACATGAAATAAACAGGCTCATGGAATCACCTTGACCTTGGAAGCTTTGTCAGCCTTTGTCTCAGAGTCATTCTGTCATCCTCAGAAATAGTTGTTGCACCAAGACTCAGGATTTTAAAAATTCCTTGGTGATGTCCCTTCAGTCATTCTGTCATCCTCGGAAATAGTCGTTGCATCAAGACTCAGGATTTTAAAAATTCCTTGCTGTGCAGTCATCCTTCACCCTACTGTGGGGCATCTGAGTCTGGAGAGCAAACATGGACTTGTCATAAGACAATAAAAAATGTGGGTTGTTCTTCTGGTATGAGACGTGAAAGGAATGGGTGAATGGATTAATTTGAGATTAATCATTAAGCAGTACTTTTGGTGATAGTCCAGACTGAGTAAAATTAAACTAATGAGCAAACAACTTCCAACATGTATGTGAGCTTTCTCATGTTAATGCTGAATTACACTAGACCATAAATTGTTTCCTGAGCACTTCAAAAATAAACTGCCTGTCAGATATAAATATTTAGGGTTAGTCTTTTTTGACTGAGGCTTCCCTTCAAGCAACCATCCCAATATTTTGAGTGGCAAAGTCAGTGCTGAAATGTGTGCTCAACATTCACTTGAAAAAGTTAGTAACCTCTGTTGCACAGCTGTCTATGTCTTGCAAAATTACATATGTGATAATTTCTTCTTGTTCTAGGAAAAAACCTGAGGGTCGATGCATCCGATGGACACAAGCCTCATTTCTCCCAACAGATCACACTTAACAAAGGGCTTAGCAAATCTATGGGATTTCTGTCCATTAGAGGAACGCAACGCGAGGAGGAGTTTTTCCAAGGTATTTCCACAGATTACAAGGCGGGACAGGAAGATACTTTCTGTCCTCATCGATGTAAAACCAGTGATTTTGAAAAAAAAGGTCACCTTCATACAGATGCTACTCCCAAGCGGAAAATCTGGGCTTCCTCCACAGACTTGCTTTGCACAAGTGACAAGGCAGCTGAGAGAGACCATGCTGGAGACTCCCACAGGCACAGTCATCAGTGTGAGACATTTATGGTACGGACTTCTGCTCCTACCAGAAACAAGGAAGCAAGGTATTCTGATGGGAGCATAGCAATGGATGTCTTTGGACCTCAAAAACTAGACCAAACACGTCATGGGCCTGAGACATCAACTTCTGCAGCAATATCCAGTGCCTTTGACAGGATAAGAGAGAGACAGAAGAAGTTGCAACTTCTGCGGGAAGCCATGAATGTAGAAGGTGAGTAAAGTTTTTGGATGTTCTGGTAACTCCAGTTGTTAAACAGATTTCTCCTCAGGAATTTTAAGTTCTCTTGTAGAAACTTGTGTCAGTGCTGAGGTCTTCACTTCGTCTTGTATTTTTAGGGCAAGTGATTGAATCACTCCTCTAAGATCTATGCCAGAAGACCTATCTGGTTCATTTGTCTGTATGTGTTTCCAAGCCATGCTTGTGAAAACTCATTGTTGTCTGTCTGTTGTATGACAGGCTGCGTGAAATTTCAGATTCCATCTAGTTTTCCTAAAGCTTAAGCATCTCCTTGGCAATATTAGGGAGAGTTATTAAAGCCTTTTATCAGTGTTTCGGTTTGAAAAGTCATTCTGTTTATGACTCTTGTGGCCATCCAGAGATTCCTACATTGAAATAGTCATGGGAATTATGTTCTTGGTCTCCTGCTGATGCAATCCTTTTATTGCAGGAAGCAGGCATGGCACTGAAATGGCATGTCACATATTGAAAAGGTGCTGTTATTCCTGTGCCAGTTGTACAGAAAAGAAAGCTGGGATTGTTCTGTGCTATGAAATGAGCACCTTCTGATGAGTGTGACATTATCAAGTGAAGGAATGAAGGTAGATGGGAATATAAGCATGGTTTATCAAAAAGGGTTTATCAAGAACCTGTAATTACCTGCTGAGGGGTCTGATGGGGTAGGGCGAAGTTTTGTTTGTTTGTTTGTTTGTTTTTTGTTTTTTTGTGCTTTGGGAGTCTGAAATTGGAGGGGACCATATCAAGAATATGAGTCAATGTGGATCTTTGGACATAGGCAGCTCACAAAGACAGCCACTCCCTGCATTGGGAAAGATAAACAGCCTTGTTGAGGAGAGCTACTTCGTGCTGGCTTATGTTGCACAACAGCAGAAGCAAAGGTTTGGCCAGGCTCACCGATGAGCAAGGCTTTATCATTCCCACTCACAGAGATGGGGAGGCTGCAGAAAGCCTAACATGCCTGTGCCCTGCAAGCTGAGATACTTGAGCTGGGTGAGACTCCTGGGTTCCTGTAAGGGATGGGTGAAAGTGCACTTCAAGTAAAGCAGGAAGCGGGGCCTCAGAGGTACAGCAGCTCAGTGAAGAGTCTGTTAGACAAGACTTTGGCAATGGTTGGTGACTCACAGCCCTGCCTCCTCAATTTGCAGGAGTTGCTTGTGCAAAATACTAAGATACTTTCTCTACAGAGAGCTGGGCTGTGATGTTCGGGCCTTTTTTGAGTTCTCCTCGAGGAAGGAGGTACGTTCCATGCTTTCTTAGAAGCTGGAGGCAATGCTCTCTCCCATTTGTTTTGGTTTTCCCATTTATTTTGGTTTTCCCATTTATTTATCAGCTAACTAATTAAAAGTTTGGGGCTGAAATGTGGTTGTGACTGTCAGTCGTTAATGAGAGCCAGTTCTAAGGACTATTAGTAAGATGGGGAATGCTTTTTCGCAGAAGAATTCATCAGTGTCCTGTGAAACTTTGAGATTTCTTGAGAAACTTGATTGAAAGTTTCTTATTCCACCTTAAGGAGCAAAATCAAAAAAATATCTAATACATCAACTCTGCTGCTTCATGTGACTTCTTTCTTTTCCTCAGTGCTAGTGTTTTGGGGGAGAAAAAAGGTGTTTTGAGAGCTGCTCTGCTCAGAAGTAAGAGTTCTGTTCAGATTGGGCTGGGAGAATGGACAAGGACTTGTGGGAACAAGGCGGATTGTGGGGCTTGGTAGAGAACATCTGTCTTCCCTGTTGGTAGGCTTGGAGGTTCCTTAAATTCAGTGGAATGCGGGTCTAGGTTACACATTAGCTGCAGTAATCTGCTTTCAACTATTTACTGCTTGTGGGTTTTTTTTAAAAATTGTGAAATGGCATTGGCCTCTCTGCATACTGCAGAGGAACTTGAGTGACAGGGGGCTTATTTCGACTTGAACTTACTTTGGGTTAAACTGGCAAACTGTCCTGTTATTCCTAAAACCTTAAGGAGTTGACTGTCTTGGAAAATGTCCCCACACAGAGGCTCTGGCATGCCACACTTTCACTCGGAACAGATTTTTACAACCCAAATTATAAACTCATGAGAAGTAGGGTTTATAGTGGAAAGAATGACAGAGCTTTAATTACAGCTGTACTGTAATGGGGTAGTTGGTAATAAACTACAGGCCATCCAAACTGCATTATAATCCCCTTTCAGAAGGGCTCAAATTTAGCCTCTGAAGGCTTCCAAAGACGCTGTCATTTTAAGTGCCTTGCTCATGAACTCGCTGTCTTGTATGTTTTTCCACTGGGTTCTTTCAGAGTTGTGGTTGTTTATGTGCTGCATAGTGAAGGAAGTCGGGGTCACAGTCCGTGGGCCAAGGCAGAGATGCTCCTGGGGCTCAGGTGTCCGGGAGCCAGGTTGGAGCACTAAGAGCAGGCTCCAAAAATGGGCTTTAATTTTGCCAAGAGATGGAAGAGCAAGTTCTGCATCTCCACTGTTATTATTCGCTCTTGGTTTTGTTGTGTTGTTCTGTGATCTTTGGCCTCATTGATTACAGCTGGGAAGTTATAACCTGCTAAGACCAAGCGCTTTTTCTGTGCCGAGTGGGCTGATTTGTTTTATTTTTGTTGTTCTTTGTCTCTGAGAGTTACGAAGCAGAAACAGACTTGATTTTTTACATGTCGGGCCTACCCTCCCATGGTGCGTTAGTGTGGCCCACTGCTGTCCCATGGCAGTTTTGTGCAAAACTCTGCTCTTTATTTGTGTTGGCAGCTTTTCATCCCTGTTGTGAGTGTATGTCTAATGAAAAGTGAATTTAGTGAATTGATTTTTCAGCTTGCAACCCAAAGATGAGGTCCTCTGTCTTCTTCCCCTGTTCGTCTGCTTGAGGCAGTCAGCAAGAACTTATGTTCAGTGAGGTCAGCCCCCGCCTCCTAAATTCTGCATGTATTTCTCTCAGAAAATGATGTTAATTCATCAGTGAGCCTAAAAGCCCATCTCGACCCCGTGGAAGCTGTATAACTTGCATGTCACAGCTGCAAGTGTTTAGGTGGGCAGCTGATTTGGGATGCTCTAAACGTCCAGCTTCTAAAGGCTGTCTTTGTTTGAAGTTGCATTTTCCAAGAAGCAGAAATTTCTCTAGATAAGCAGCTGGCTCCTAATACTGAATGTGTTCTGGTAAATGAAGCCCCTGAGGTTTTAATTCAGGAGCTGCTGGAGAGGTGGGTTCAGGGTAAAAGGGAAACATCTGCTTAATGGATTTCTCTCTGCAATTTCCATGAAACGCGTGCATTCTTTTTTCAGCTGAATTATATGCCCTGAATTTCTGTGTAGCTTAAGCAGAGGAAGTGCGAGTCATATACTAGGATGGAGACTGTTTGCATGTGGAAGCAAATTTCAACCCTGTTTACACATGCCCTATGGTCGCCGGACTCCACTATGACTTGGATGCAGTGGTAGGGAAACGAGTTGTCACGCGGTTGGTATGTCTGGTATGGGAAAGGTTCAGCTAGGACGGGGTTTAGGGTTCAAATTCCTGAAGCAGAAAGGTGAGAAAAAAGAATGGTTTTGTTTTGCCAGTTAGATGGAAAACTTCCAATCATTAATTTTACTGAGATGGTAGAAGTAGGCTTTTCAAGGAGGATGCGAGTGCTATTTGTGAGGTTTCAATGAAGCACAAATACCGTGGCATCAGCCGCTATTATTTTGGTTCTTAATTGCATATGCTACTTATGTACTTATCCCTGCACTACTTCATATACGGTAATTCAGTTTTACAAGATGAAAAGGAAGGAGTAAGCACGACTCCAAGCTACTGGTTAAACTATTCTGAAAGAAGCACGTCCCAGTCCCTTTTGGAAGATCTGTAATGTCTTCTAAATGGTATTTTAATCAAACTCTTAAGTAACAGACACATCTTAAAATAAACAAGAAGAAACCCCAAGGGACAAGCTTGAGCTCCTTCCCTCCCTCTCTGTCCTTTCCCTGCTCTGTACAGCCAGGGATTTCTGTAATAACGTGCATTTGAAAACCATGCTTTAGGTCGTGCTGAGGCTAATGAAACTCGGAGCTAAACACCCTTCTCCAATTTCTGTTGAAGTTGGCTGGGCTGACGCCTTCTCCGAGTGACCTGCCTGGGCTTGCATCTGCTGCCTGGCGTAAACAGTGAGTTTGGTTATTCTGTGCTGCCTTCGGTGCCTCTCGAGTTGTGCTCGGCTGGCGTTGACAGGGAGTCTGCAAGAGCATCAGGGCAGCGCTGAGCGGTATGACCACGGCTTCGTCAAGCTGTGGTATTTCCTTCAGCTCTGTGTTTGTGGTTAACATTAATTTACATCTTTGTTGCAAGATTTATTTGTAAGTTTTAGTTGTAGGCTAAAATTGCGAAGCATTTCAACTCAGGTTATTTTACTGACATAGAGAATAATTTGAAATATTCCTGTAAGATGCTGAGATCTAAACACTGTAATGTGTGAGAAGGGTAATGGGTTGAACAAATTTTGCTACGACATTCTTGATACTACTATAAGAAAGCAAGTCAATTCTGAAGTCTCTTCAGTCGCCATAAATTAAAAAATATCCAGACTATCCAGAAATCTCATGCAGAATGGGGAAATTTGGAAGAGAAGTTGTTCATCTGCATTAGCTTCTGTGCATCTTGTCTTTCAGTTCCTTCCCAGCCACGCAGCCTGGAGGGTTTTTTGGTTCTTTGCTTGGTTTGCTTTTAAGAGCTTCCACACTGAATCTTGCTATATTTCCTGGGGCAGCAGAGAGCAGTGCTGTCCAAGTAAGCTGGTAGAAATGCAAAAACCAAAATGGCTCTTTTTCTGGAAGGAGCTTTTGGAAACACATATTCCAAAGTTGATCTGAACTTGCCTTTAGTCTTGGTCCATAGCATCATATAATCTCTTCTCCTGCCTTTTTTCCTATTTAAAGTTTTCCTTGCTCCTCTAAGAAGTCTAAGCAAGTAGTATTGTCAGCTGCCTGAACTCTGACCACTTATCTCACACTTTTTATTGCTGTTATTGCTCTACAGAAGTTTCCATTGGGTGCTTTTGTTTCCTGGTACTCGGAAGATATAAGCTCTGATTTTCTTTTTGCGGTGCCTGAAATCGTTTGTAAAAATTGAGATAGATGGGGTTTAAACTCCATAGTTTAAACTATTCAGAGAATAGTTTTGGGCAAGTCACCTATTAACTTAAAACATGTTTCTTGATAAAAGTAAGCTGAAAACTGTTCAGATCCTGCAGGTTTTAGCATGCTGCAGTTCCTAACAATTCCTTCAAGTCCCCACAACTAACGGGCTAGAAAGGCAAATATGTTTTCCAGTGCAGGCTGTCATTGTGCAAGGAGAAGACCTGTCCTGCTGCAGAGCCTGCAGAGCTGTTATATGGAACTGTTACTCGTGGATTAGGTTGTATGAGCTTCCTACCCTTTGGTTTTACAGCTTCCTTCTGCAGAGGGGAAGCAAAGTTGTGACACTCGTCTGTGCAGCAGACGCTGCCTGTGACTGAAGTGACCTTAGTTCTCTAGCCGTGTCCTCAGCCGCTCTGGTTTGAGTAGAAAATAAGCTGTATCTGTTCTGCCACGGGGGTTCCTGGCTGCAGGGTTTTTTTTTTTTTCTTGTCTTTACAGAATCGTTTATAGTTAGTTTTGTTTATTTATCAAGTCTATTCATTGATCACGTAGGTTTGGTTGTTTTTATCCTGTTCTCCTGCAGTCTCATCTATAGCATCTACAGCTTTTATGAAAACCATTTGAACTGTTCTGGTTCATCAAAGTTAACCAGTATAGATGTCAAAGTCAAGCTGAATGAATTTTAATTTACCAGGTCTTTACCTCTCTAGGGATTTTAGCTACTTCATAGTGAAGGAAGCAGGGACTGAGCCCTGATATTTTTTGCAAGTGAGCTAAGGACCAAATGTGTTAGCTCTTGTATTTTTCAGCTGTTGGTTTGTGGCCCCTGCCTCAGGAGAGGGAAGTGGATCTGTTAGCACAGCCTAGAGAGGGTGGCCACTTGCAGAGCAACAGGCTGCAGAGACCACATGGGACTGCACAGTGTCTGCTCACAGGCTTCCTCTACTCAAAGTTAGGCAAAAAATGCTTAAATATGCTGAAAGCATCAGATTTCCAGTGTCCCACTGTGTTTGATTTTTGTCCTAGAAATGCTTCTCTTTGACTCTTCTTCTCCCCCTCTTTAACCTTTCAGAGCCTTTGAGACGATACAAATCTTACCACAGTGATGTCTATAGCACCTCGAGTGAAAGTCCGTCTATTATTTCTTCAGAACCAGATTTCAGACAAGGTAAGACCTGTGTTTAATAGTTCTTAAAAACAGAAAAAAAAAGAAATAGAAGGTTAAAAAGAGATGTGTGAAACAAGAAGGCAGTTAAATCTTTAGTCAGAGACTGGATAATTACCAGTAATATGAAGCTGTAAGCTGATCTCATGTAATTACAGTATGTGTGGAGGTCACCATAATTGGCAATCTGCTCAGAAGCAAGTTCAACGTTTATCTCCCAAAAAAGCTTGGGAGGAAGAGCTGGAAATGGTTGACTTGCTGCTGGAGCGCTTGATTTAAATGCCTTGTGCAACCTCCAGAGGCACAAAAATGAATAAATTTTTGACGAAGTCTGTTTATGTTACAATGCAAAAGCTTTATGTGAAATGTTCTATGGCTTGATTCTTTTGATTTCCACAAACATTGCTGCAAGGATCAAAACACTGATAATACATAAGCCAAAAATTTCCCAAGATATAAGCATAATGCAAACAAGTAAATAGAGCAAGTTACTAGTGACATGAATTTGAAGAAGGTTCTCCAGAATTAGTGACTTTGAAGGAGGTGGTGTGATGCTTTGGTGGCTGGTTATAAGACGAGAAGAATTTTCTTCACATGGGATGGGAGCACAGCCTGGAAGAAGATGCTGGGAGCTTTTTTGCCGTTGCTTCTTGTTTTTTATTTCTAATTCTTAGGAAGTACTAAAATGGTGACAGAGGGTAGATAGATCCTTTTGTACAGTGCAGTCTTGTTTTTTATTTCTAATTCTTAAGAAGTACTAAAATGGTGAAAGGAGAGAGGGTAGATAGATCCTTTTGTACAGTGCAGGAAGCAGTTTGCCCTCTTTCATTGCTGTCACGTGGATAATCATCCGGGTTCTTTGTGCACTGACCTTGGGACAGTAAGAGATCCAAGTGAATATTTGGGAAAAATGAGCTTTGTGTGCAAGATGGCAGGTGTTGCTGCAGGAAAGCATATGAGGCAAGGAGAGGACAGTAACGAGCAGGATAGCACATATTAACTACAAAAAGTAGTAGTAGTCTCTATCTGATAAATCAAAGGATCCATTAGACACAGGAGCTCAGCATTTTAGTGGCTTCTTAACTCCCCTCTTGGCAATTGGATTTGTTATTACCTTGTGGAATGGTTTTCTGTCGATGTTTTCTAGCTTGGTCAAGTATTAATCTGTCTTTTCATTTGCTAGTGAGAAGAAATGAAGGTTTCAAGAGAGATGATGCCAGTGGTGCTTTACCAGGCGCTGATGATATCTCCACATCGAGTCAAGCTAATTCTCAGCGGGCAAGGTAAGCCACATGGAAGCCACACTTCTTTAAAGTGCACTGTCTCTCTAGCAGAAGTTATTCTAGATCTACAAGAAGTTTTTCACTATGATTCCAACTTCTGTGTAGTCAATAGTCTTTTAAAGGAGTGTTTTGGAAAGTGTTGGTATTAGAAAGGATTGTTTTGAAACATATTCATTTTTAAAGGGAAATGAAAACATGCAATTGCTTTGAAATAAGCCAAAAGCCCTACATTTGGTTGCTTATTCTGGCAAATATTCGCGTTGACATTGCTGTGGTTTTGGATTTTTTTTTTTCCCCCTTCATGTAAAAGCTCCACACTGATCAGGTAGGCCACTTTACTGATTTATGCTTTCTGAAATATATTTTTTCATGCCATGTATTTGAATATTACAAGTATTTTTTTTCTATTTTTTTCTTCATAAACCTGCTGTGCTGTTGGTCAGCCTGCTCTTTGGAAACAGGTTGTGCTTTTTGCCTAATCTTTTAGCAGTTGCGTGTGTAGTGGTAACTGCTCTAGTGATACCTGAGTGACTGTGTTATAAATGCTTGAGAATTTTTATGAAGGCTGACCTTTTAGGTGGAAAATTTTCTTCTTTTAATCTCTGCCCATTGCTGAATCACCTTGGAATGCTTGACCAGAATGATTGGAACAGCTCTTGCATAATAAAAGAGCAGAAAAAAATACACGTATCTGTTTCCCCCTATTCTCTTCTCTTCACCCCCTTACAACAGCAAAACCATTTCTCAGCAACTTTTTGCCTTGGCTGGGGGAGATCAGGAGAAGGATTGCTGCTGTGCTCTGTGTTTTAGGATGTTTGTGTGTTGCAGAATGGGCCAGGTGGGAATCCTCCTGCTTTGGGTACTGTGGCAATTTGTAGAGCAGCATTTTGCTGCAGTGTGCAGGCAGTCTTAGCCATCCAAACACAAGGGGATTTGGGCTTTTAGGGCAGAAAGCAGTTCAGCAATTCAACACCTTAGCTATGCTGGGCAAAACAGTAGTCACTGGTGGGTGCTGATAATGAAGTTCCCTTTCTATTTTTGAGTTGTTGGGAAACTGGAAAGAAGAACACGGTCTGTAAACAAGGCACAGTGGTGTAAACGAATCAGGCCTATTAGGCAAGTGAAAATGCCTCGGGAAACCTGTGAGAACAGTTTCCTGTGATTTGTCTCATATTGTCTCATTTTTTATTAGCGTATTAAGACTGTTTCCTTCCAATGGCAGTAATTTGTATATGCAAGTGCATATACACTTTTTGTATATGCAAGTGCAGCGAGGAATCGCCTGTTCTGCTTAGCAATGGAACAAGCTGTATGTTGTTCTCTACAGTCCTACTCCAAAGTTCAGTAGTTTCAATCTGAATTTTGGCTTGTGCTCCCCTCTGCTTTTACTGAAAGAAGAGTCATTTGATGTCAGGGTTTGGGAAAGCATCTGTGACTAAATGCATGAGTAGGATCCCTTGAGCGCTTGGGAGCATCTTTTAGTGATGATGCTTTAGACATATAAATATATAGCAATATAGATATATAGATTATTTTCCCTCTATTTAGAGATACCATCTGTACATAAAATCATTTTAAATATAGTGCTCTTTGGTCATGTCTTTAGATGGAGTCTGCTTAATTAGCTGTGAAGTGAGCTGTGGACCCAGGGGTCCCATTCCCATTTCCAGGAATTGGCAGCCAGTGTTAAAAGATGGGTAAGGCTGTTGAGATTTATCAGCTACAGAACTGTTGAGGTAGACTAGCTTACTCTTAAACTAGCAGAAGCCATTGATTTTTATTTTTAGTTCATTTTGATTTTCTTTCAGTAGTTTAACAGCATGCTCAAACCCTTTTCGTGTTCTGCGACTGCTGTACTTTAGGTTTCTTGGCATGCTTTTCATCATGGTAATGGATGCTTGTGCCTGTTTTTCCTCTTTTGCTTCTTGCAGTTCTTATTTTTCGTCCTGTTGGTTTTCTTTTCCTCCTTTACTGCTTCTTCCTTTCTCTCTCTAGGAGCAGCAGCTGACATGGATTCCTTCCTTGTGTTTCCTTTTCCTTTCCGTTATCCGCTGGATGCTATTTATGTCTCTCTTCCCCTACCAAAAAAATCCCTTTTTTTCTCAGCCTCTTCCTGGTCTTTCCCCTGCACTGTGGTGTTTGCTACTTCCCTTCCTCCAACTTCCTTCTCCGCTCCAATGCGTGGTGGTTTCTCGGTAAGTACATTAGGCGAGGAGTTAATTTGCTTGCTGCTTTCACAGGAGTCAGTGTTCCCACTTGGTGGCTCACCTGCCCTCTGTGGGTTAATTAGTATCTGTGAGATTCTGGTGAGCAATCAAGAATCTTCTCAGAAAAGCTGACACAGGTGAGCTAAGAAGATAAACCAGCCGTGTGATAGCATTTTACACAAAAATACACAATTTATGATTGCCTCCATTGCACACATCTTTCTGCTTGTTAGTAAAAAGGCAATTTTTTCATCATTAGCCCTTTTCAGATAAGCAAGTGTTTCCAGGTATGGCCAGTTGCACTGTGTCTTCTCCATATCTCCTTTGCTAATTCATAGACATTTATGTTCAGAAAGTTTTGTTTGTTTGTTTGTTTTGTTTTGCTTAAGAGCCCATCCTCAGACCTTGATCTTAAGAGCGCTCATGGGCGTATTTAACGTAGTTCCCTGTGAATATGCCCACATACGCCGATATTTAATGAGCCTCTGTTCTGTGAAAAGCTCAAACGTGTGCACAAGCCTTGGCAAGTCCGAGACCTTTTCTAATTATTTTGTCCTTTTGTGTGCACATCATTAAGACTGTTGCAGAGAGGGAGAAGGGGAGCAGTGCTCTGGAAGCCCAGTGCAGCAGAAAGCACCATGGGCAATGTGAATAGATTTTCCTGGAACTACAGTCTGTCTTCCTTGAAATCATGTTGGAGGAACCTCAGGGAAATTTTGCTCAGGTCTTGACACGTTAATGGTATGTTGTCATTTGGGCTCGTTCACTCTTCTTATTTGAAGAGGGTGGTTTTTTTTTGTATGCTAGCCAATAGAACCTACTTAAATGTCAGAAATTTTAAGGCAATGCAGTGCACTGCTCATACAGTTGGCATTTGTTAGAAACTTGGGTGTGAAACAATGGAAACAAATCATGCACACAAGTAGCGTGGTCTGGACAGGTGCATTTTCTCTTGGTTTGTAACTGATTTTTCTTTTCTTTTTTTTTTTTTAAAAAAAACCTAAGTATATAGATTGTTATGTCCTTAAAAGTCTGTAAGTGAGCTTTCAGTATGAATGGCTATGTCAGGACTTTCTGCACATTCCAGCATGTTTGTGGTATGTCATGCAAGATTTCAAATACTTGTTCTTTCCTCTTTCATGTTTTTCATTATTCTAATGTACTGTCAAAAGTTAACGCTTAGCTTAGAAGTACCAAATGTGTGTTTAGATGAATGATTCGATTGGTTTAGAAGTCATTTTCCATAAGTACAGAGGAGAGAGAGAGAGAAGAGGAAGAGAAGCAAAGTGGTAGTTTTATTTATTTTTATATTTTTCCTAACTTCCAATTTTTAGGTTTAAAAAACAGTGTCTTTTGTTCTTGCTTTTGCTGTCCAAAATTGGGCATGGATTTCTTTCCTGGTGCTGGACAAGAAGTTGATGAAAAAATGCTGTAGAAGAAGTAATTGAAGCAATATGTGCCTATATAAAGGACAAACTTTTATTTGTTTTTGTTTTTTAAATGCCAGCTTTTGAAGCGCATTTGTGTCTCAGTCTCTGTGTGAACAGAGAAATTTCAGCATTTTAGAGCAGCATTTTCTTCCTGCTGTAGATTTGCTAGTTCTGTACTGATTCACTAGTTTTGTAGTGTCTTTTTTTTTTTTTTTTTTTTTTTTTTGCCTGCAGTTGAGGGTTTATTTTCAGAGAAATAAATGACCAGCAGTTGTGGAAACTTGGCATGGTCCACTTGTTTTCCATATTGATGCATGGCTTGTAGAGTGTGGCAATCAAAACACTCCCTGGTTGCTGTTTCAAGTAGTATGTTATGTTGGATAATTTTTGTTTCTTGGGTTTCCACTTAAATAAGTTATTATAACTCCTCCTTCAACCATAATATTTTAATGCAGAAGAGCCTCTTTGGCATGCCAGTAATGTCTTTCATCCTCCCTAACTCCACGACAGGCAGCAGGAGGCACCATTTGAAGGCAATCTAATAAGCCAAGAAGTGATGCTAAAGCGTCAGGAAGAAGAAATGCTGCAACTGCAAGCCAGAATGGCTCTCAGGCAGTCCCGACCTAACCTCTACCCGGGAGATGCAATCAGGTCCTCAATACTTGACATCACCAGAGATCCGCTGAGAGAAATTGCCCTGGAAACGGCCATGACCCAAAGAAAACTGAGGGTAAAGCTCTGACCTCATGTGAACTCTCCTTTCCTTTCAGACAGAGCCATGTCTCAACTGAAATTCAAATTTGTGGTATTTAAAAGCTGAGTTCTCTAGTAAATACTCATTAACAAGTTAAGTACTAGGTGGTTGGTGTTGTCTTGATAGCAAAGACCTAATCTCACGCAGTAGATTTCTGAGGTTTTGTGGCATTAGTGGCTGTGTAGCCTAAGGTAATATCCAAAGACACAAAATTAGAGAGCAAGTCATGACTCCAAGTTGCTTCTCTCAGCCACTTCCTTCTCAAACCGTATAGCACCCTCACTTCATTAGGATGCATTTTTATCTTCAAGTCTGTGTTTTCAAACATTTCCATTCGCATTTGTTCCTCTGTGATTAAGATAGAGATGTGTCTGAATGATAGAATGCTTAAGGTTGGAAGGGACCTCTAGAGGTCATCTAGTCCAACCCCCTCTGCTCACCCAGGGTCACCTAGAGCACGTGGCACAGGACTGCGTCCAAGCGGGTTTAGAAGATCTCCAGAGAAGGAGATTCTACCACCTCTCTGGGCAACCTGTTCCAGTGCCCCGACACCCTCACTGTCAAGAAATTTTTCCTTAAGTTCCTGTGGAACTTTGATGCTTCAGTTTGTGGCCATTACCTCTAGTTCTGTCAGTGGCCATCACTGAAAAGAGACCAGCACCATCCTCCTCACTGCCTCCCTTGAGGTACTTCTAGACACTGCTCAGGTCCCCTGTCAGCCTTCTCTTCTCCAGGCTGAACAGGCCCAGCTCCCTCAGCCTCTCCTCATAGGGCAGATGTTCCAGGCCCCTGATCATCCTTGTAGCCCTGCGCTGGACTCTCTCCAGCAGCTCCACATCCCTCTTGTACTGTGGAGCCCAGAACTGGACACAGTACTCCAGATGCGGCCTCACCAGGGCTGAGTAGAGGGGCAGGAGCACCTCCCTCGACCTGCTGGAGATGCTCTTCTTAATGCAGCCCAGGATCCCATTGGCCTTCTTGGCCACGAGGGCACACTGCTGCCTCATGGTCAACTTATCATCCACCATGACACCCAGGTCTTTCTCTGCAGAGCTGCTCTCCACAAGGTCGGTCCCCAGCCTGTACTGGTGTCTGGGGTTATTCCTCCCCAGGTGCAGGACCTTGTACTTGGCCTTGTTGAATTTCATGAGGTTTCTCGCTGCTCACTTGTCCTGTCTGTCCAGGTCCCTCTGGGGTATCAGCTACTCCTCCCAGTTTGGTATCATCAGCAAACTTGCTGAGGGAGCACTCTGTGCCTTCATCCAGGTCATTGATGAATAAATTGAACAGGACTGGACCAAGGACTGACCCCTGGGGGACCCCGCTAGCTACAGGCCTCCAGCTAGACTTTGCACTGCTGATAACCACCCTCTGAGCTCTGCCATCCAGCTAGTTCCTAATCCACGTCAGTGGATCACTTTCCAAACTCCTCTTTCCTTTACCAGCCATCATGATGTGTAGAGAAAGTTTACGGAGAAACATGGAGACAGAGAAATACATCAATGCAGTAGCTGATGTTTTCGAGAGGTGACAGCTTGTTCCCCTCTGTTTGCTGTACTTTTTTTTCCCTACCCTAATCCAATGTAATATTTCTTGTATTTCCCTCCAATCCATAGCACTCACCTCATTCACACAGGCCCTAACCAGCTGGTCTTTTTTCCCTAGGAGGCTTGCATATCTAGTGCATTATTTCCAGTGCCCACCCTAGGTAGTACGCTACGACCACTGCCTTTTTTTTTTTTTCCCCTTAGGAGGCCAATCCAGAGCCTCTTCCTAAAGAAGCGGCAAAACATTTCATTTAGGTGACAAAACTTGTGTGTCACTATCAGAGATTTGTAAAGGTGGCATTGGCAGTAGGCCTTACCAGTGCCTGGCTGTTCATTAGTGAGATAACCCCAGTAGCCAGCCCATGTCCTGCATTTTAAGGGAAGATGATGAATACACCTGGAAAAGGAAAACATGCAGTATGTAGTGATGTGATCAGTGATCTAGCCAATCAATTTGTCTTGTTTGGCATGCTGGCAAAATGAGGTTCTGTGCAACTGTCCCTCTGTGTGATGTTTTAGTCTTCATTCCTAACTCTTATCATTTGCAGAATTTCTTTGGCCCGGAGTTTGTGAAAATGACTATTGAGCCATTCATCTCCTTGGATCTACCAAAGTCTATCTTGGTAAGAAAGGAACTGTTCCATGATTAATAGCAGGGGAAATGCATTAAACCAACAAATGCATCTTTACCATGACCTTAAATGTCGTGATGCTTTATTTCACAAAATGCAGACAAAGAAAGGGAAGAACGATGATACCAGACGAAAAGTTAATGTCATGCTTCTCAGCGGGCAGAAACTGGAGCTGACCTGTGACACCAAAACGATATGTAAAGACGTCTTCGATATGGTCGTTGCCCATATTGGCTTGGTGGAGCACCACTTGTTTGGATTGGCTACATTAAGAGGCAAGAACACTGAGTTGTTAGAGCTGATGATGTACAGAATACTGAAAATTAACTACATGGTGTTGGGACTAGATAAGCAGAGACTGCTTGGCACTGGTGAAACACTCCTTTGTACCGAGGCCAAATGTCTTCCTCAGGACTATTCCTTTGGGATTAATGGAAAACTATTTCTTCTGCTGTTATTGAATGTTCTGTTTAATAGCCATTCCGATAATAAGCCTCTGTGAGTCATTAAAAAACTTGCTGCTCAAAACTAAATCAAATAATTGGGAATCCTCTAGCTAGAATAATTTTTTAATTACTGTTATTATTTTTAATCCATGTGCTTCCCTTTCATTTGATGGCAGACCATGAATTTTTCTTCGTTGATCCTGACATAAAGCTAAGTAAAGTAGCTCCAGAAGGATGGAAAGAGGAATCAAAGAAAAAGAACAAGCCCCCTGTCAACTTCGTTCTCTTCTTTCGCATCAAGTTTTTTGTGGATGATGTCAGTCTTATACAGTGAGTGTATGACCACTTTTTTAACCACTTAAGCCCTAAATTTATGAACAGAAGTTGGATGTTAATTTAAACACTCTGTACTTGCTAAATGGACAGGTACTAGAGGTGGAATAATCATAATGATTTTTTTTCTCCCCCCTAGGCATACTTTGACCTGTCACCAGTATTATCTGCAGTTGCGGAAGGACATTCTGGAAGACAGGATGCACTGTGATGATGAGACAGCCTTATTATTAGCATCCCTAGCCCTCCAAGCTGAGTATGGAGATTACCAGGCAGAGGTACAGCACAAATTTCACCCCCAGGAAACTCTGTTCTTGCCGCTCAGTGACTGACGGGACTCTTGAGATGCCCTACATGCCTGACAGTCCTGGTGTGGTTTGGAAGCTGAGCTGATGTGCTCTTGCAGCTTATAGTCTTGACAGAGAGAGACTTAACAACAGGGCTGTTGCAAAATCAATTTGAAGATATGGGTATTGAACCCTCTTTATATAGCAGAAGTACATCTGGGCTTGAATAGGAAAATATATATGAAGTTTGGCTCTGGTTCAGGGCTGAGATTCTGAATACTATTGCTTACTTGGCTTACTTATACTTTGGGATGTATAATTTGGTTTAAAAGAGTTTAAAATGGTGACACTGCCGCAAACCTGTTTCACGTTGTAGGTACACGGCATGTCCTATTTCAGACTAGAGCACTACCTCCCAGCAAGGGTGATGGAGAAACTGGATCTGTCCTACGTCAAAGAAGAGCTGCCCAAATTGCATAGCACTTATGTGGGTGCTTCTGAAAAGGAGACAGAGTTAGAATTTTTGAAGGTAAGTGGTAGTGGTTCACATCCTTAGTGTGCCATGCTCTCAAATTCTTTGGGAGAGTACTAGCTGCATAGAAATATTTGGATTTCAAATGAAAACAGAAGAAGAAATCTGGAAAGATCTTCTGAAAAGATGCATCATGCAAAGTGGAAAGAAATTGTAATAGGTGGGGAGGAAGGCGATTTTTTTTGCCATGAGTTGTCTTTTTGCTTGACTCAAACACAAATGGTTGTGAACAACCATTGGTGTCTGTGCTTGTTCTGAAGGAAGCTGTGATTATGATCCAGTACACCCTTCATTCCCTGAATTTTCTTTCTGTTGTGAACCAAGAATTTAAATAATGAAAAGTTCTGTTAGACTTAATGCTGTTTATGCTGTTTGGGACATTGCGTGTGAAGCAAGCTGCAAATACCACCAAGCAGACTTGCCTTTGCAGATACCAGAGTAAGATGATAGGGAAAGGATAATCATATGTGTATTCAGATTATTTCAAAAGTACACACTAAGATACATAATGATCGGTTTTGCTGCGGTTTCCCATGAGATAATGAAGAAGTCCTGCCTTGATACAGTGTCTGAAAATGAATTCCTAGGTGAGAGTTAGCCACTGAGACCCTAGATAGCTATTGCACCCTAGTGCCACAGCTGCACTGAGACTGCCTGTTCCCATTCCAAGACTCTTGCTCATTTGGCAGAGTTTTCTCACATAAAGGAGTCATGCTGAACAAGATGGGGAGACGCAATGCTGGTTAAACCTAACCTGGCTGGGGATAGGCTGTGGAAGGGGGGAACAATTAGATCCCCTCATTTGATTCTTGACATCAAACCCTGTGCAGAAGAAACAGCAAGAATGAATGACTGGAAGTTCAAAGCGCATGATACTGCTTCTTTTGGCAGTTGTGGTAGCATAAAGTGATCTCAGAATTAAGGTGTGAATCTAACTCTTTGTTATGAAATGTGTTAACAAATGCATCTGACTGGTATCACTTCATTGCTAGCACTTGGTTTGTGGAAAGCTTTGGATTTGTTTTTAGATCTCTATTATTCATAGTTTTGTTGTTCAATTTCATAAGTGCTTTATTAATTTGCTTTAGAGTTGGACACATCAAGAGAAATTGCCAAGACCTATAGCTATCTACACTTGTAGCTTCTGTCTCTGCTGTCACAGTATTGATATCCTGTATAAATGGCACAAATCAATCTTTTTTTCTAAATTCCATGCATATTGTGAGGACTTGCTCTCAGCTTCAGACTCTCATAGAAGCTTTGTTGCACTCGTATGTACAGATGTGTCAGAGGCTCACAGAATACGGTGTTCATCTTCATCATGTGCTGCCTGAGAAGAAATCCCAAACTGGCATCCTGCTGGGCGTATGTTCCAAAGGAGTTGTTGTTTTTGAAGTGCACAATGGGGTCCGCTCACCTGTACTACGTTTTCCATGGAGAGAGACGAAGAAAATATCTTTTAGTGTAAGTCAGTCTGTTTCTTTCCCTCCCTCTATGTGTATGAGCCTATATTTATCTCATGACAGTTTCTTTGTGTGCGTTACATGTGCAGATTTAAGGTGATGTTTTCCAGCATAACTTGTGACCACCTCTTGTGTGGCCAAGTTGTCTTGTGTTATGAGATAATATTGGAAATGTTGATGTTTTAAAAGATTGTTCTTGTTTGGGTTTTTTTGCTAGCATAGACACCATGCTGCTGTGTTTTTGGCTTCAGAAAAGATTTTAGCCCCTGCATATTGAAATACACTTTGCACTAGTGTACTAGTGTACACTTTGCACAGGACACTAATCTGTGGTGCTCTGACCTCTGGCTTCCCTGCCCTCTAAGGAGAGCGTTCGTACAGAGGCAGGTCAGAGTGTGCTCTGAGCATGAAGAGGAGGTCTGTAAACATTCTGCATTTCGGGTCACTTGGCCAACAGGGCATATGGGACATGGATGCTGCTACTTGGTGCAGTTAGGAGACACACCTGTGTTGTCTTTGAGCTCTGATAATTGCAAGAGTAGTTAAGCCAAGTGAGAATGGATGGCAGGGGCTGGCATTTGATCTGGGCAGTGCCAGCCAACTTAATGGGTATGCCTGAAGCCCGTGGTCATGTGTCAGTGTTGAACCAGGTGCTGAAATTCAAATGCTTGCTCTAATACACATAGTGCAAATGATACTTCTTAGTCTCCCTGAAAACTAGAAAGCCAGAGCCTGTTTCATATTTGTTTGGATTTTAGGAACTGTAATTTCCTTGGAGGCTTTAGAAATCTTCATTCTCCATACTCTATCAGGGCTTGCAGTTGTTATTCAGCAGTAACAGTAACGGAGACTGTTAAATGATAACAACTGATGACCTTCTCAGCTAGCTAGAAGTACTTTTGAAGTGGTGCTTTATAAATCTCAGGTTACTTTGAGCTGATATATTAGACAGAAATCTCTCATTAATGCATTTTGTTTCAGGAGATTTGAATGCTGCAATTGTGTTCAAGAAAATGCAAAATTCTTTGTAGGCTAAAAGAAATCACTATCTTTACCTTTTCCCGTAGAAGAAGAAAATTACTTTGCAGAACACGTCAGATGGTATCAAGCACTCATTTCAGACTGACACTAGTAAGACTTGCCAATACCTTCTGCATCTCTGCTCTTCCCAGCATAAGTTCCAGCTACAGATGAGAACCAGGCAGAGCAACCAAGACACTCAGGACATTGGTAATGACTGTTGTGTTTGGATTTCAGTAGCAATAAATTTGTATTTTTATTATTTGCTTGTGATTTTATTTTCAGAAGAAACCTCAAGGATAACTTTCTAATATCACCTTGCTTGTTGATTAATGTGAATGAGTTCATTCAATAATTCAGAATTATAGAGAAAATGGAGAAATTGGGCTAGGGCATATGTAAAGTTTTGGGACAGCTATTCTTCTTAAAAGGTTTGATGGACCTAGCAAATTACCAAAATTGAGGCTAGGCATTTTCCTTTGTGATAGGAACTGCCAACTAATTTGTGTGTACAATTTAAAATACAACGGAGTTCTTCAGCACAAAATATTTTCTGAAGAGAGCAGTGTTTGGGGAGGAAAAAAAAGGTCTCTGTGCTGATTGCTTCCCCACTTGCCTGGCTGACCCTCAGCGCAGACCCAAAAGTGCTATTTTGGTCAGCCTGCCTGCTCATTATTCCTTTGTTCTGTGTGTTTATCTGTCTGCATTCCAGTTGCTGTTAATCCAGATTTCCGCTAGCGCAGCTGCGATTAGAGTCTGAGCCCATCACTGTGGAGCTTGTGATCTCTAATTGTATATTTAAAAAAAAAAGAAAAAGAAAAAAGAAAAAAAAGAAAAGAAAAGAAAAAAAAAACTCGTGACATTTATTTACCCTTTCTATTCTGCCATATTCTGCCAGGCCAAATTGACTTAACACAAGGAGATAGGACCAGGTGACTTGAGGTGCTCCTACTGTATTCTCACTTAGCATCAGCTTATCCTGAAAAGCAAAGCAGTGCACAGAAAGCTTTCTTTTTCAGGCAAATTTGGAGGATGTTATATATGAAGGATATGTTATGCGGTGAGATCCTGGAAAACAAGAGTTTGCTTCTGTGCACTACAATTTTCTTTCAGTTAAGAGCTCTC